ATCACTATAATCATTATTGTTGTTGTTTATTGTTCTAATCATCATTTACATATGTATATATAGGAATAAATGTAAAATAAAATTTTTAATATATTTATTTAGCACTTAACATTAATATGGTATATAATAATAATTGGGTGATGTTAGTTGCCTACAGATGCAATTGCTAGTTAATTTAATAAAAATGTATGTATGTATGATCTGCATTTATGGAAATAAATTCATACATTACATACATAGAGGTTCATACATTACATGTTTTCTATATTACCATATAATATTTACCCAGGATAAAAAATTTAGCGGGCTTAGCAGGCTTAGCCGGCCAAAAGTTTATCAGCTTAGCCAACTAAGGTTTTTTTAACTGCTGATTGTAACAGTGAATATTTCAATTATTTAACCAACGTTAATTTTAAATAATTTTTATTTGAATAGAAACCTTTAAAACAATAATACAAAAGTGACGAAGCTTATAAATCTACTGACTGATTCGTGAAACGGAGATTTTTTTGGACAATTCTTTTACTAATAAAAATGACACTACTACCAAGACATAGAAAGACCGAACCAACGCTATTATGGTGGACTAAAGTTGTTGTTTCAATAATACTTTTAAGTGGGTTAATTGTATATATATATGTTTTAATCGATTTGATTATAAAGGATGATCCTTCAATTCAATATTCTACTGTTAAATTAGACTCACAACAACCACTTCCATGTTAGTAAATTACTATCTAATTGAAATGTAAATTGCTTGGAATTTTTTTTAAGCAAAATTATTTATTTTCTTATTATTTTGAAAGCGTTTGAAATCTTTGGAACATCAAATGCAACAACAATTCAATGCCAGATTATTGAGGAGGTGGCTGGTGCTGGTATATATACCTCTAATAATAGTTTTTTAAAAATTTATTGTTGAATTTGGCATATCATTAATGAAACTGTTTCATAGCTAATTGTTCTGCCAATCTTAAATCCTTTGGCAATATCTACAAATTTACTCCTACTGAAGATATGATTAATGATGGTTCTGGCAACTATAGTGATGTGTTGTACTTTTTGTTATATAATACTTCTGACACTATGCGCATTAAATTTGGTGGAGGTAACTATAAAGCTTTTAAAATCACATACTTTAATTTAATGATTAATTGTTATTATGTTCTGTCAAACAAAATAGAATTAGATGATATCAGAAATAATTATCCAGATCAAATTAATCTCCAAAATTACTTAGATTATTTCAAGAATAACTTTGTATATATTCAAAGAAATATGGTATCCATTTAAATACACCAATGGTTAATAGTTTGATATTTTGTAATTAAAGTCATTAATATGATCAACTTATAATTTAAAATTAGACAAATGATGTTTATATTAAATGGACTAGAAGGAATTACTTGATTCGTGATTGGACAAATTATTTAGGTTTTCCTAATCATCATGTTTCACTTCGTATTGCAGAACCAATATTATCAAGTAACTACTAATTTCGATTTCAGTTATATGATTTATTTAAAGTTTTGAAATATATAGTGATTCAACCTTTTCTAATTTCAAAAGCACATACAATAGGTTATGAAAATCGGATTAGAATGTCCATTATACCATATGGTTATCCTAGAAATAACTATTTTGAAACTGTTGAAACGGAAAAAAGGTGATTGCATAAATTTTGAATATTTTTGTTTCATACTTTTCTAATGATTTTTTTATCATTACTAGATCTGAAACTGTAAGTGTTTATGTAATATTTGTTAAATATCAAACTTAAAATATAAACACAATTTTGTTTTCTCAGGTCTTGAGCAATATTGGTTCACTTGGAGGTGCAATTAGTTTGCTATTAGGAGTTTATGCTATTTTATTTGGTAAGTTTATTAATTTCTTTTTTAAATGAAATAATCATAAACTATAAACTATAAATAACAAATAAATTTTAAATAAATAGGTGGATCACTCCTGAGCCCATGGGGAATCTTTCAAAACTATTGCTGCAAGTATAAACCAAGATCAAAAAGAAAGCTTTTAAAAAATTTACCAGTGATTCCTTTGACTGAAAAAAACCAATTACAATATGAAAATTCTAAAGATCCAGATATTATCTCTATTATCACAAGATTCAATTCTTTGGAAACCGTTTTAAGAGAGTATGTTATTAACTCGGATTTCCTTGATGAATTAGTGGAGACTGAAAATAATAAGAGTGTTATTGATGAGAGTAATAAACCTCTTGTATAGATACATATTAATTTATTATTAATTTAATTAGCAAAGCAGTTATGTTCAGTGTCAATAATGACAGTTATATTTAACTCTTGAACTATTTGATAAATGTTAATATAATTTTTTTAAATAAAAATAAAGGAGTTTGTTTCATGTATATATTAAAATTATCAAGATTAATTATATCCTTTGCCTAAAAAAATTAAATATTGTTCTTTTCAGGACTAGCTTTTATACAAGTTTTACAAACACGTGGAATTTAACCAAGGTGCTTTTTTCCTGTTTGTTTACTACCAACATTTGATACATGGATCAATTGATTATTTTCATTTATATTTATTTCTCGTTAAATGCAAAATCAGACCTAAATAAATTCGCATTTATGACTGTTATTTTAATAGTAGATTTAAATCAAGCCATTTCACAAGCAATTGCAAGACATAAAAAATACCAATAGGAAGCTCAAGCTCTATTTAATATACTATCAAAGTAATTTGAAATTAATTAATTCAGAGTTAGAAGGGAGGCATTTCAAGCATTTGGAAAGAGTACAGTGAAGCGATGTGGGAAGCTACATTTATATGCTTTGGAAAAGTATAAAGGGACAAAAGAAAAATAATTCGAAAATTTTATGTTCAAAATTATTAAAAATAGGTTTAAATAATAAAATACTTACTGATAATAAATATAGGCTTCTATTTATCCCAGAATGAGCAGATTCACTTTAAAAAAAATTTAAAACTCATGTACAAAAAAATGCTGGTATTTCGTAACTACGTCAAAGAAGGCTCTTGGGCTCATTAATATCCACAACAACAAAGTCATTTAATGTTTGTTTCTTTCCTTATATAGTATAACTCTGATAATTCTGCTGTTATTCAACGATGAAAAATTGTCAGATATGATAAAAGAGTCTATTAATATCAAATATGTATATTCGTAAATTCTATTAATATTAAACTTAAAGTTTTTGTCATGGGTCGATTGTTTTATTCAATGAAAAAAGTAAAGAGAGTGTAGAGGAACGATTGCGCTTAATTGCTAGAAAAAAGAACTAAAGAAAATAATAAATCCTCACAATTTGTTTAACCCTTACAAACAAACAGGGAAGACTTGGTGATGACTTTAACAATCTACCAAAGGTATATATTCTTCCCCAGCTGGTATTTCTCCATTTGTAAGAAAGGATGGTATGGTATGGCGAAATCACCCAACCTGGGCGAAAGCACCCAATTCGGACGGAATAGCCCAACCTGGGCGAAATCACTCAATGCGGGCTCATATGTAATTGAATATGTATATAAAGAACTCAATTTCGACCTAATGTAAAAGTAACTTTGTCATAAGTTAGTTAATTAGTTTTGGCTAAGGAAAAACTTGCTCGCAAGCTAATTAGTTTCGACTAAGAAAAACTAAATAAATAAAATAAATCTTTTATTTAAACTCTCATCCAGTGTTGGAAATTGAGAGCAGTATACCCATGTCCATTCACCATATTATATTGTACTCGGATAATACATCAATAAAAAAAAGTATTAATGGATAGACATGAATAAGAACGTTATATCTACCAGCAGTCTTTCTTAAATTTGTAATATAAACGATTAGCCTTTATTCATAATAGAGTAAGAAATTACTTATCTATAATTAAATCGTATATAAAAATAGTTTAATAATAGAGTAGGAAACCATGATATAAAAAGTCTTCATCTCCAATAAACTTCATGAATTCGATTTAAATTGTATTAAATGTTTCAGTAATATAAAGTAAACTTACATATCCATAGAATCTTTCTAAAAGTAATGATATTTTTTGAATCCTAGTGGGTAAGGAATTGCTACGACATATAGACTTTGCTTCTAATAAGACTCTGTGGGTATTGAAGTTATCTAGATGACCAAATTAGTAACTATTGTTTTTTCTTATTATACATACAATCAGTGTTGTGACCCGAAACTCTGGGTTTAGGGAAGACCCGAAACAGAAACTAACAGAAACCACCTGAAACTAGTTTAGGTTAGTAGTTTATGCTTAGGTTT